CTTTAAACAGTCGTTTGCTGCGAACAAGGTGAATATTTCAACAACCACGCCAAAATCACTTTGAAGCGGGCGTCCGAGAGCGCTGCCATGTTTTCACGTACACCGCGTACACCTACGCTACCACGGTAACGTTAAATCTGAAAGATAGCGTGCGTATGGTAAGCGGTGCGCATGCGCACTTTGATCCCGCTATCACTGTCACGCCCTGTAAGCCCGCTATGCTATAACTGCCTATTGTCTCAGTGTTTGCACGCCCTGTTTCGTAAAATGAATATGCCCCAACTGGCTCAGCTCTGTGCTATGCTAAGGGACCTGATGTTTTTCGTTTAGAACGAATATATGAAGTCTATAGCTTTTAATTGGAATTAAGAAGAAGAAATGAAGTTGGGAAGGTGAACTAACGCAGTAGAAAACCGATCGTCTGCTAGAGCAACATAATGTGACGTTGCCAAGGTAATGGATTGAAATACAGTACAGCCAGGAATGTCAGATGAGCTGGTGTGGTGAGACGAGAAATGTGCCAGCCGGGGGGATGGAGCCAACTAATGAAATACAGGTAACTGTAGATGGCGTGATTGGTAATCCGAGAGTGGGGATAATCAGCTAAGTTCACGTGTTATAACAAGCCAAACAGCTACGGTTTACGTTGCTGGACTCAGGTCTTTGGTTTTCTACAGGCTTCATTTATTTATTTCTCATGCGGGCATAAACAATTCATGAATATTGCTCTTTGAGAATTGTTCTTTTCAGTGAGGATATCGAGTGGCCTGAGGGTGAAAATATGAAGAGGTGTCAGAGAATGGGGAATACAGGAGCCACGCCCCCTTTAATTAATTCAAAAGTGGTGTGACAGAGGATGGGGGGGGGGATTATTCCCGTTCCGCTTATACCTTATTACCCGTAAATACCGGATTAATGTTCCAAACGTGCAGTATAGCTGAAATGAACCTTGCATAAACAAACTTACTGGTTCTGGCTATAACATTAACACATTTATTTTCGGTGTACCCCACTCATATGCACATATGTGGCTTGACTCGGACGTTTAAGATCTTGCATCCTTCGCTTACGCTCAGTGACATTGATGTAGGCAGGCTTATCAAGTATCTGATTTGTCAAGGGAGAGAAGAGAGAAGCTGTCGTGAGAAAAGGGAAAGTGGATTAAGAATTTCTCGGGTGAATGAGGCCCGGTGTTAACTGCACCTCCAGATCCTGGCTGGCGAGTTGTTCCTCCTACTGCTCCAAATTTCCGGGAAGGTAATCAGTTAGTTATTGCTACCTAAAATGCAGTCAAGTTTTTGCGTTCTCTTACGAGAGCTCCACGGTACGTATAGTATAATGTCGGCGGGCCGCTACATCACGAACCAGCGCGCCGAAACAATGTGGAGTAAATGTTTAGATGATATATTGTTTGATACTACAGTGCAAAAATTTTTGTCTGTCTGTCTGTCTGCCTGTTTGTCAACCGAAACTACTCAGCTGCTATAGGCCACCAATCAACCACTTCCTCAAAGCCCACCAATCTTGATCTGGTTTCTGAGTTCATACTTGTGCGCATTGTCGATTAAAAAGCAAATATTGCTTATATCTGTGGCACAATATGAACGCGAAAGCATTCTGTAGGGCGTTTTTGCTTGCTAATCGCAATAAAGTTCATAACATTTTTGTGTAAATTGTACGGATGTGTATGACGTCCTCACCTTTTATATATTGGGAGGGGATTCGGGGGGGGGGGCACACTTTATTTATTAATTTATTTATTTAGGGCAGAACTCATAAGCCGGGTTTGCCTGCGAAAAAAGCAAAAAGAGCACTTACACTTCCTGACTAGGATTTTTTTTACCACGCCTTATAATGTCTCACCGAATGCGACAGTTGGCCGTCGGCGTTGTGCGGTGTCGACACGAGTGATGCAAAAAATAGTTATCACGTGATGACGTCACCATACGACGTCATTTCGTGCCATTGTTGCTTGGTCGATGACGGGCCTTTAGCAGCGGCATTGAAAACCAGGGGATGTGCAGAAAAAAAACTCTCGGGAGACGGTGTGGACCAATTCATTGACGTGAGAAAAAATAAAAGATGGAGTAGGAGAAAACCTTTGTTAAGCAGAGGAGTTTTGAGCACAGACTCTGGGGTGCACTCATGACCCGTTGCTCTCAAGCGTCGACATCGTGGTGGGCCATCACGCTGGCAGCCCGGTCGCCAGCCGTGGTCTGCGTGACTGTGTCTTCTGAACGCAGAAGTGTCCCAATCCTCCCAGGTCTTTAGGTGCTCTATGGCCCGCGGGGGTGGATCCGCCGGGATGTATGGAAGGATGCGCATTGCGGATGCATGACATTCAGGACGCAGGGAACAGGAGAGGGCGGACTGCGAGCTTGTAGCTGGTGCCAGAGGGTTGGTTGCTTGTTGGACCGATGGCTTTCTCGTTCGACTCATTTCGGTGAATACATAAGCGACACTGTGGTGTTTTCTGTCGCGTGCACCTCTCCGGTATCCGAAGATGCGTGGGTAGTCCTTGTCACATAGGATGTAGAGCAAGGGTGAGAGGGTGACTGCCGCTGTGCGTGGTTCGTGAATTCTCGCGCTATAGGCATCGGCTCTCTCGTGTACCCTCCTGGGCCAGCTCGTCCTGGGCGTTAGATCAGCCTGTGTCACTCTTGTGCCCGTTTCGAGGAGATTATACTTATTCTTATTGGTGTGCGACCGTTCCTGAAGAAATGGCACGCCTCCGGTAAAACGCGGACTATGACAGAACATGGTTGTTCTTTAGTCTATAGCGTATGCTTAGTCCTCACAAACCACCCCGCCGCGGAGGTCTAGTGGCTAAGGTACTCGGCTGCTGACCCGCAGGTCAGCAGCAAATCGAATCCCGGCTGCGGCGGCTGCATTTTCGATGGAGGTGAACATGTTGTAAGCCCGTGCGCTCAAATTTGGGTGCTCGTTAAAAAAAAAAAAAACAAGAGGTTAAATTTCCAGAGACCTCCGTTACGGCGTCTCTCATAATCACATGAAGGTTTGGGGACGTTAAACCCCGCATATGAGTCAAATCAGTCCTCATAATCCATTGCCTCATAAACAATTGTGTAGAAATAGGCGCTATTGAGTAAAGTTGGCCGCCACATTCATCCGGGGGGTGCCCCACCTGTGTCGATTCGGGATGTTGTAACCTTCTTTCAAGTTTTTTTTTAGCTCAACAATATAAGGTAATGTGCATATTTCAGACAAGATATATCTGCTGAATGCATTCACATTTCAGTTAGCGTACTGAAGGCTAAATAGAACATAAGTGTGTTTCACCACATATTTTCGATTCATATCTTCGATATCTATATGGAATTTGGCACTTTATATGTGTGCTCTGAAATGTTTGTTTTCAAAGGTAATTCACGAAGTTTTTGTGACAATAGGCTTAATTAGGCCTCGCATTTTGTACTGTAGCGGGTGGGACACGATTTTGATCCTTACAAGAAGGCACTTTACGGTAGCTACATCAGAATATACAGTGGTAGTTACATCAAAATATAAAACCTGCATATTGGCTTAGTCTAACCGTCCGGCACTTCTTGTCGTGGTAGAATATAATTTAGTGCGCAAGTAAATAATTACACTTACAAGAACAGGCAGCTGACCTTCGTATGCTACGTCCGGTCGCCAAGGCTTTGTGGAAGCAGAGCTGGGTGTTCATTGCTTCCTGATTAAACATTTCAGTCTGACTCATTGTAAGTGGTTTGCGATATCGTGTGAAAAACCACCGCTCTTGGTTTCAGTGGATGTATACGCGTGTACATCTTATGCTCAGAAATATTTTTGACTTGGCCGAGATGTTATTTTTTTATTTAAGAGGGTCAATATTAAATCATTTGCAGTGGTCATTAACGGAAAGAGTGCCTATTTCTGTGAGTACGAAGATGACATACAGCTAACTCAAAGTTCACGATTCTTGCGTTAGTATTCCTATGTATAACGTTACCGCGAACAAATTGCAATGCATTATGTTGACTTGGAAATTATCCCATCTCAAGCTCGTGTTCGCTACTGATTAGCTGATATGTGCAGCGCAGTTATTTTTACAGCGATATTTGCTGTTGTTTGCATGATTGGACCTTTGATTAGTATTGAAACACCTTCAGTAATTTTGCTCTTATCTATTTATCGAAAGCAGCCACCCACCAGAATAAACTCTTGTCTGTAGAAGTGACTTGTGCTACACCGATTCGTTCCCCTTCGCTTTTAAGCAGCAGCGCATTTGAGGAGGTGGGCTGAAGCTAATAGAACACGTAGGATCTAATCTCGTTATAACGAACACTTATGTACTGAGTTATCGGTTATAGAAAACTAAATACGAAATTTGGTTGCTGTTTTTGTTTCAGTGACGTTTTTTTTTTTCTTTGTAACGAAACCGAGAACGCAAAACCCACCGCGATTTGGCTGTTACGAAAAAAACGTTTGGTTTGCGCGTGGCCCGAAACTAGGAAGATTCCATTTTTTTTTTAAAAAAAGGGAAGAAAGGGGGGCCTCTACTACTACGCCGATAATATACCTGAGGTTGTGGCATTAAAAATTTGTTTTAAAATGTGGTTGAGAAAGTTGCGGAAGTTTTGCTCGTGAGTTTCATGGACGCCGCGGACATGGCCAAGAGTGATTTGTTGCGGCCGATTTTATTATCTACGGTTACAACGAATATCACATACAACGAAGTAACTTATCCTCCCGGTTCTGCTTCCATATAAAAATGATCGACTGTGCATGGGTAAACAGTTTGTTCTATGTTACTTTCTGTGTCCACTTTGATGATTTTTTTTTATCTCCACTTGTCTATTATGTCTTTGATCGCGGCTTCACTGCTTGTAACTCATGAATACTGTTTTTGTTTTTTTTTTTTGTTTTTGAGGGAGGTGGAAAGTTGGGATGTGCACCGTACCGCATAATAACTGAGCAGTTTAGGTGGTCAACCTGACTTTATCTTTGTTTTGCGATGCCCCGTGTTTATTTTGCAGGTGATGATGTACGTGAACAAGGTTGGGCCCTTACTTCAACCCGCACGAGACGTACCACTACTACCAGCTACCAGTATGCCGGCCAGACAAGGTCAGATCCCGATTGCTTACTATCTAGTACATGTGATGTTCAGTGGCTCATCACTGTTTGAAAAACCTCATCATGTAAACTATTTCAAGGTCGTGGCGTTGAATCGTCCAGAAGTGCGAAGTTTTACTGCTTCGCATCGTTTTCTTCTCTTAAGAGTACAATTAACGAACAGACAGACCTGAGAATTGTGATGACTTCTCCTAGAACATTCTTTTAATGTTTTCAATGCAGTCCAGGTTTTCCAGTCCCGCTTGTTATGATGGAATTGTATATTAATTTTTGAACCGAGATTTTGCAGAATTTTAGTCAGCCGCCACGGTGGTGTAGCAGTTATGGTGCTCGAATGCTGACCCGCAGGTCGCGGGATCGAATCCCGGCCGTGGCGGCCGCATTTTCGATGGAGGCGGGAAATGCTATGGATTCAGGTGCACGTTAAAGAGCCCCGAGTGGTCTAAATTTCGGGACCTCTCCACTGTGGCGTCTAATAATTATACCGTGCTTTTGGGACATTAAACCCCATCCATTATTATTATTATTATTATTATTATTATTATTATTTCTTAAATCTTGCAGTCACTTGCACGTTTCTTGTGCTTATTCGCTTTCCCGTTTTTCCTGTAATTATGGGTGTTTTGGTACTTGTCACGTTCACTAATTGTACTTTGTTGGTGACCGCGCGTTTAGGCCTCGCTATCAAACATGCTTTCGGTGGGTCAACAAGTATCTGTTGTTGACGCATTGGCAAACGTGCGATTAACAGTGTGGACAGTGCCCTGGAGGCCATGTTGAGAAGTATGTGCTTTTGTTCGCGGTTATATATTTAATTGTATGAAAGAATAGGTTATTGGGCTTTACAGCCCCTTGCTATAATGTAGCGATTTTTTTTTTAAATTTGTACAATGAAAGATACTTGGAAAATAAGCAAATTTATTCCGCTTCTTCCAGATTGATTTAGTCGGCTTCTGCCCCTTCTTTCGGGCTACTGCGCATAAGTCGCTCCCCCCCCCCCCCCCCCCTACGTTTTTTTTAGCTTCGTTCGGAATTATGTTTGTCTACTTGTTGCCTGGCAGCTTAGAGCACCATCCGCCAGCTCTGAGCGGTCATGTTTGTGCTGAGTCGTGTTCTCAGTAGCCAATCGCGCAAGTGAAAATGCATATATGGTGGGCACTTCCTGCAAATGCGTGGGCCGCATACAGTGTTTCATCCCTGCGTCCTTTGAGGAAGGATTGGAAGAGACATCCAAGGATAACTAATGCAGAGCGTTATTCTCGGCATATGTAACACAGTGAGTGCTTGTTTTAATTAGACCCTCTTTAATACGGACAATCGCATAACTCGCACGTGTTCCCTGGTTCCGCCCAGCGTACGCATTGTTTGAGGGCGTCCAACCCTCGTTAATTCGATCACTTTTGGCCGCAGTTCGGTTAACTCGGATGATCTTCGTAGTGCGATAAGCTCCGCGGATGCGCGACGCGAAAGAGCGAGAATGGCGTTCTCGGTCGACCGGAACGAGGTGGCGCTGTCCGCATCATTCTCCTCGTGAGTTATAGTTCCCACGGTTTTGTCCACATGTGAATGCGGCATGCTCAGCGGCTCCGTTTTACCTTGATGCAGGGCGCTTGCAGTTTTACAAAACTTACACTCTGTCCGAAGCTTTTGAAGATGACATTTCAGTCGCGGTTGGTCTGCTCGTCTGTTACATCCACTATCAGTTACCGAGCGTTTTACCTGTCAGTTCAGTTACCGACCATTTTACAGCCGGGATTACCACCTGGCTGCCATTTCGCTCGCGTTCGCGTTTTTTCACCTCACAGATCCCGCTGCAGTCAGTTCAGCAAGCATCCCGGCATCCCTTTGTGTGTCGTTTTCGTTTTTCGTACTTCTCTTTCTATTCTTTTTTCTTCTTTTTTTTCTTTTCTGTCGAAAGTCTTGCTTTGCGGATTCAAACATAGCGAATTTGTTTTCGTTACATTTCTCAAAGTCACGTGTAATTTGTTGCTCCCGGGACTTCCAGTTATGGTGGTTCGTGAAGCCTTAATAAGGAGGTCCTGTGAATGAATTTTGCCTGCAGTCACAGTATGAAGAGAGCATATACAACATTTTATTAAATTTATAAAAATTTCAACCGCGCAAATCATGTAGCCTATGCAACGTTTGTTACATTTGTTTTTTTCTCTTATTTCTAGATGCGTGTAGTATGCGTTTCCTGATGGAAAAAAAATTTTGCAACTCTATCCTAATGCTGTTTAGGTTTCTGCATTGCAAAGCTGGCTCTACTCGCCCTGTGACCTGTGCGAACTGTATTCTTGAATCTACACAAATCATCGGTATAGCACATTTGACATATGCACCGCACATTGTTTTGTAAAAGACCACGTACCTTTTTTTTTCTGTTGTTCTAGATTTGGTGATGTACTTTACCTTGAAGTTTGGTTGTACTACGCACACACTTGAAGTGCTTACGCCGAATGGCGGCAAGGTCAAAAAAAAAAAAAAAGGAGACCACCCTAATTCGTTTCATATAGGCCGGTCCCTGGTTGTGGCATGCGCACCTCGGCGTCCGTGTATGCTGATGTATTCCTCAGGTTAACTTTGCGCTTCTTCGCATCGTCGTGGAGGATCTCGGAGGCCACGTGCAAAGGAGCGCGTGGTTGAGGCTTGCTCCGCCAGGTGCCGTTGCGATTTCAGGTGCTCATTTAATTCGTTTTTTTTATTGACACGCGGACAGTTAGTCGTACCTTATTTTAAGAATTCCCATGATCTACAATCTCATGTACTCAGTATCTCCTAACTTGAACGAGAAGCATTGATTTCGTGGCAGTCCTATCTTTTAGAAGGCTTTTTAAATGGATATTTGGAGAAGCGTATAGAACTTCGAAAAGAAACGAGAATATCGCTCTTCCCTCGTGGCCTCTAGAGTGTACTCATTCAGTCGTGATTCGTCGGCTGTAAAAGAACCCTCATCTTCATCACGTCCTGGTTAACTGTCCGTGTAGCATGCGCGAAAACTCCACGCACGAGTTGTTGGGAGTCAACACGCGGTCGAATATTGACAGTACGCGGGAGGTGTGATTCGGCTGGGCAGGGCAATGTAAACGTTATTGCCCGGGTTGTCCTTGACGCACAACAACCCGGCGAAACGAATATAACCGTTTTTGTGAGTACAGGCGTGGTAAAACTGCCGAATCGAAGCAGCTGCGCCTTGTTCATCTCTGGCGCCTGCTGAAGCCTATAGTTTTAATGTTGCTGTACTGAAGGTTGTTGACTCAACATTCGACCTATCAGGATATTATTTTGTGTGTGTTTGTGTGGGCGGAAGGGGGGGGGGGTTATTATGGACGCGTACCCTCAATTGTTTTGACAAACATTTTAATAATAATATCTTGGATTTTAAATCGTAAATTGCGATATCATCACGAGAAACGCCGCGGTGGAGTGTTCCGTGAATTGCGGCTGTTCTTTAACGTGCGCTGACATGACACAGTTCACGGACTTCCACTGTTTCGCCTCCGTCTAAATGCGACCGCCGCGGCAGGAATCGAACCCGCGACCATCGGGTGAGCAGCCGAGCACCGTATACTTATACTGTTCCACCGAGGTGAACGTTGCAAAGCACTTTAATGTTCCTCATAATTTCGTTGTGGCCTGAGATGGTGTGGCCTGAGTTTTATTTTAGATTGCGAGAAGGGGCGACGTGAATGTTCTTCACCATCATGTGTGTGTCCAGTCGCGCGCGATGTGAAGGTTATATCGCGCGAGCGTTGACCTTGCTTAATTAACGTCTCGGGGGGAAGGGGGGGGGGGCTATCGGCACGTTTTGGAACAGCGAAAAACCGAGATTTTGTCCTCTCGTCCTCGTTGGCTGTTTCGTGCTCAGACAATCACCCCCAACGACAAACTCTACACACCCATTCTCTCAGTTTTGAGCACTCCGTTCGTTGCGGTCAAGCCTATAATCTTTGTGGGTTTTGATCTCCGCAGGCGATTACAGAACTGATGGGAAATATGTTTTGAAACTTGGTGCTTGGCACTGCTTCGTTCATAGCAGCTTCCTCAGACGGGAGTGTTCGCAGCTTATGTGACAGCAAAAAACGAGTGAGCGAAGGTTGCGTGGTACCGCCCTCTCCTCGAAAGAGGATTGTGGGACGTGGTGCTGTTGTAGTTCTTGGTCGATGCGCTTGACTTGCTCGACTTTCGCCTGTCCTAATTGTATACCGCGAGAAGTAGGACTCTGTCAGCGATCTCAATGATCTCATGTTAAAGGGATAGGACGTGCACTCTCAGACAAGACAAGTCAAGAAACCGTTATAGACAAACTGACAAACGCCGTCTCGCTTTCTCTCTAGTGTCCCTGCTTGCACACCCTGTCTCTATCAACGATAGCTCAGCTTTCTGTCATTCTAAGCTCAGTGATCTCCAATTGATGCCATGAGGGCCCCGCCGCGGTGGTCTAGTGGCTAAGGTACTCGGCTGCTGACCAGCAGGCCGCGGGTTCGAATCCTGGCTGCGGCGGCTGCATCTCCGATGGAGGCGGAAATGTTGTAGGCCCGTGTGCTCAGATTTGGGTGCACGTTAAAGAACCCCAGGTGGTCGAAATTTCCGGAGCCCTGCACTACGGCGTCTCTCACGTTAAACCCCACATATGAAATCAATCATCATGCCATATGAGCGTAGAATTTCGGTGATCTTGATTCTGGGTAATGCTGGTCTGTCACTGCATGGGGTATATACTATAGAGTACCTGCGGGTTGTGAAACAGCTGCTGTATTTGCTGTTCTATAGTCGCGTTGCTTCTCCAGATAAGCGCTCTCGAAGGGTGCGTATCGCGCGACAAGGATATTCTGGTCGGAACAGGTAGCAGTTACAATCTCACTTCGCGACTTCTGGAGGAATTTGTCGCCGTCGCACCTGCGTCTTACGCCGATCATTTAGCTCACCGGTGGGTGTTGCAATCGCTGGGTTGTGTAAATGCGTGGGATGGGGCCGACCGGTGTATACGT